GGGGCTGCTGGGTGTGTGCTCGTGGCCTTGGAGCTTGAAAGCGTTGAACCTGGCTCCAGGAACATGGTCTTCTCCAAACGCCTGTAGACTGTGGGCTTTGTAAGTTCTCAGAACAGAAACAATTTCTTATAATTTTTTTTTAATTCCCCAGTTCCTAACACAGTCTGAGAGAGCACTCAAACCCTGCCCACCCTGCTTAGGAGGGCTGGGGTGGTTAGAAGATGGGAGCTTTGAGAACCCCAGGCCCCCTTGCCATGTGTGGGGAAGGACAAGGCAGCTGGTGCAGGTGACCTCCCGCCATGAGTGGGGTCACAGTAAGGTGAGTGGTTTGGGGCCAGTAATGAGGCACCAAAATCTGCCTGGAAAGTCAGTATCCAGGGCTGTGTGGCTTTTGTTTCCCCAGTAGTCTGTGGACAGTGAGAGGGTCCCAGGAGGGGGGCCACCATCCCTCTCAGGCAAGTAGATGATGTGATGTCATTGAGAGAGGGACTCAATCCTAGAAGAAGAAGTGCCAGGTGACAAAGTCACTTGCTTCCAGGTGAGCTCTCTCCCAATCCTGGGTGGGCACAGGAACACCAGCAGCCCAGCTATGGCCTGTCCTGCAGGGAACATGGAGGCCCATCTGAGAGTTCTCTTTTTTTTTAATTTAAAGATCTCTGAATCTAAAGAAAGTTTTGAAAAGCAGATATTCTTTTCTGCAGCACTGGGGTTTGAATTCAGGGTCTCAGGCTTGCTAGGCAGGTGCTCTTACCACTTGAACCACTCCATCTGCAAAAAGCAGATGTTCTTGCTCAATAATTGGCTTTTATACCAAATGACTCATATTCTGATTTTCCAGCTACTGCCAAGTTCTAACGTGATGCCCTTTACGTCTTCCACTCCTCTCACAACTCTGTGATAGCAGGCGCTCTCCACTTGGAGCTGTGCCATTTGCACCCGAAACTGCGCTTGTGTGTCTGGGAGCAGGAAGATCATAAGGCTCTGGGAAGGTGAACCTCTTCTTGTCAGAGCATCCATGAGGTGACCCAAGAGCATCAGTGACAGGCTCCTCAGGATGCCCTAGAGACCTCCTCTCCCCCTCTGAGGGTGACTCTGACAACTGGACTCAAAGCAAGGTTCCAAGGAAGGAACCCAACTCAGGGCAGTGGCTACAGTGCAGATGACGGACAGACAGCATGCTCTGAGCTGAGGCAGTGCTGCCTAGGAAATGCACTAGGCTTCACGCATGGCCAGCCATATGGGTAACTCTGATTCCAAGCTCACATTCTGGTTATCGCTTGGGTCTTTCAAAGATTTCAAGATGGGGTTTAGATTGTGTGGTGGTGACTGGAAATCACGGTGCTCTAAGACAAGGAAGGGGACTCAACTCCCTCTCTCCTGATCACATTCTGGCCTCCACAAATCCAGTTCCACACCTTACGTGGCCATGGGCTCCTAAACTTTCTGGGCCTCTTTTGCACTTTATGCCAAATAAAGAGCTTGATGTTCTTCCAGTGTGATTCTGGAATCGGCCCTAGTGAGTCAATCCAGACAGGGGCACAAGGTTCAGAGCATCTGCTAACTTACATTTAAAATGACTCTGGATGTGCTGGGATGCAGGAGGGGCTCCAAGATGGAGGAGCTGGAGCCCAGAGGGAGGCCTGAAGCAGGTGTGGAAGAAGCTGGACCTGAGCCAGGAGAAGCCCAAGGATCAGAATGTTATAGCCAGAGCTGCCTTTCCAGAAGGCAGAGGACAGAGGTCTGGGGACCACCTGCCCTCTTGGGAACTTCTGTGGATCAAGCCAGTCCAAAGGAGGCGGTGTCCGCACCAGCATTAACTAGACAGACAGGTAAGGAGACTCAGCAGCTCCATGCAGCACCAAACCCAGCATGTGATCCTGGGCAATGGCAGGACACCGGTTGAAACCTGGGGAAATCCCAGTCACCTCTGCACTTTGTAAGCTGCAATGCACCCGTGTCCTGGTGTTGACCAGTGCTGCCTGGTTGTGTGGTTATGTAAGATGCTTAGGGCGAAGGAACTGAGCTGGACTCTGTAAGGACTCTGTACTGTCTTTGCTGCTTCTCTGTAAATAGATTACTCCAAACTAAAAAGTTTACTTAACAAGAAAAGTGCCCTGCTCTCAGTCTGACCCATCTGCCTCACCTAATCAGGGGACACAGGGTTGAAGTGACCGAGACGCTGACTCTAGTCCTTGGATGAGAGGAGGTGGATGGGCGGTCAAGCAGTCTCACATGGTGTGAAAAGACAGGGCCCTCAGGAGAAATCAGGTGTTGAACCTGAAAACAGCCCTTCAGCAGCTAACAGGGCAAAGCGTATTTTTAGAGGAGACAGTCTGTGTCTTAAACGCAGCACAGTGCACCTGAGGGTTGCTATGGCAACTGCACCCATCCTCATTAGCTGTGGGCATGGAGCCCTGTGCAGACCTGCTGCTGGGAGGCAGAGGGCATTCGCGGAGCCTGATGGGGTGTCCATCAGTGACTCCACACACCTGCCCCAGGAGGGGGGCAGTGCAAAACTCCTCTGGCAACTGCTAAGCGGAGAAGGTGATGAGCACTAACGCCTGAAAAAGAGGGTCAGAGAGCTTATCCAATTCTATTAATTAGGAAAGAACATGGCCACATCTTTTCTTAAAGAAAAGCACACACTCGGAGAGAAGAGGCTTAGAAATCCTACTTGCGATTTAAAAAGACAAAAATGAGACAGCACTGTTCTTGAGATGTGGCCCAAGTTTCACACACTTCCCAGCTTCTAAAAGGAACAGACAATAGAGACTTCGTAATGTGCCCGGATGTGGTGCAAATTCTGAGGAAGCTCTGGGGAGCCAGCTGCAAGATTCAGCATCAAAATGCCTCCTCACTCAGATGACTGTGAGCGAGCATGCACTCCAAAGACATCTGTGTCCCCCACAGCTTTTTTGTCTTGGAAAAAACTTACCTGTACAAAAAGGTAGGGTGATTTCACTTTAAATCCCCATCTTTGATTCATGCTCAGATCACTCACTGGACTTGAATATTCTTGCTACTTCTTGGGTCTTGGGTCTTAGGTAACTGCTCAATTTGACAAAAGCTCACTTTACCTGAGAGTGTTTTATGCCCACGGTAAGAGGGAAGGAAGCAGCTATTCCCACATCTCCGAGAGAAGGAAAGCCAGACATTTCACTGCAATCATTTTAAACCGGTAGACAGCTACCGTAGCGAATATTGTGGGGATGTGCACCCTCATTGCTTTCTCTACTTTTGTAAATGACTTTGAAAATTCCATGAGTTCAGAGAGGGCAGTCCACTTTGTAGGCAGTTGGACCTCCTGTGTGTGTTGAGTGTAAAACACTGGGTGTCTCAGACCTTCGTACAGTGGTGACATGAACTCTCTCTGGTGCTTATAGGATTCCTAGGTGATGTGCCATACAGCTATTTTATAACTCTGCACTGCCAAGAAGAGCTAAAGTGAGTTTCCAATTTTTCCCCAAACCCCACTGAGTCCATATTTGTTCTGTTAAGCAATATTGCAGCCCAGCCTATGAATATTTCAGACTATTGACCTTGATCCTAATAAACCAGATTAAGACACCAACGAAACACACATCTGTCATCATCTCGGTAATCTTCACTAACACTACCTGCATTACTGAGGCAGCAGAAAAGACCCAATGCTGAAGGGGGTTTCCAAGGCTTCCGTTCCCAGCTGCCCTGTGACAGGCATTGTGATTCTGAGCAGCAACAGCCCTGGACAAATCAGTCTGAACCATGAGGTGATGTGCGCTTCAGAAAGCAGAGGGTAGTCCTGGCCTCTAGCTAATTTGTGGGTTTTCTTTATCCAGTTTCTAATCCTGAGTGTGTCCTGGGCAAGCGTGCAGTGGTGCTGCCTCAGGGAGGAGGGTCTCTTCTGAGTCACATCCTTCTGGAGGAGCCCCTTTGGTCCCACCTCACCAAGACCTGCCAAATGAAGAGCACTTGCCTGCCTGGGCTTCAGACACCTCCAGGACCTTCATGTGGCTTGTGGGACATTCAAGGATGAAGACTCCCACCTGGGCCCTCATCCCTGTCATTTCAGCTACAGCTCAAATGCCTACCCGCCACCCATCCAACCACCGATGCCATCCACCTGACACCCCACTTCATTCTCTCCTAGTGTCTTCCTTTGAGCCCCTCTAGGCTCCTCTCATTGAAGAAAGCACAGCCACCCAGCCAGCACAGAAGACTCAGGCATTTCTACCACCTCATCGCACTGCTGCCCTCCCCACTGGTTCCCGCAGGTCTCCCTGGTGTCGCACAGCCCATGGGGATGCCCCATCTTCTGGTCTCCAGTCTCCAGCCACACCCCTGGCCACTGGCCTCCCCTGGCTTCTTGGTAATATCACTTACTGGGCGAAGAGTTTGACCTGTGTCTCCTGTTGTTTGAACTTCCTCCCATCAGCCTTGCCTCCAAGATCAGCGCAAGGAGTCACAATCCCCATTACAGGCTGTGCCTGGACTTGTCACCTCCACTTTGGATTCCAACAGCCCTGTCCCAATAGCAGCAGCACTAAGCTCTGCCCCACCAGTGCCTCCTCTCCTCTGTGTCTCTCTCACCATCTCAGTGACCTCATGTCTCAGAGGACATTGGGTGGTCCACATTCTGATCTCCTGGTACCCTTATCTGGGCTGCTCTGGAAATTTCTCTCTCCTGTTCCTTCTCTTTCTGTGCATGGCTGCTGAGCACTCCAGGGGACACCCCATGCTGACTAGGTGTCCCCATCCCCAACTTACCCTTCTTTTGCATCATGGATTAGAATGCCAGCTCAGAGAAGGTATTTCAGGCCCAGAGTCACCTAATGTCCTTATGGCCTGCCTGTCTCATCCCCCTCACACGTCCACTGGCAATGTGCCTTGGATTCTTACAGAAGCTCTGCTGGCCATACACATCCTGGTATCTACACTGACAGCTGCCCACTGACCTGCCACCTGCCCAGGTGGTGGACTATGAGAAACCAAGGTTCTGTGGACTTATGCTGGGCACTCACCATTGTTCTGCGTCTGCCACACTGCATCCGAGAGGCCCCAGAGGCCAGGGAGAAGGAAGAAAACAGCCATCTGGGAGGATCGAGGGTGCCACAGCAGGAGGGCAATGATGCAGGAGAGGTGAGTGGCTGCACCTGTTCAGAGCGAGGAAGACAGGACAGTGAGTTGGCCACTGTCACACAACCTAAGATAGCCAGGGCCTCAGAGAGCCCACACAGGAGGAACGACCACCTTTACTCTTTGCTCCCTGCCTAGGTAACATTTCTGTACAGTGCTTTGAAAGAGAATGGTTCAGGACCAGTGGCATTTGCCTGTAAACTGGCACTTGTGTGTGACCAGCTTCAGGTCATCACCACTCCACACAACTGGTGGTGTCAACCAGTGGGTCCTTGCTCTCCAGCTGCCTCAGCATGCTGGGTCTTGGGAATCGTGGCTGGGCCTGTAGGTGCCCTGAGCCACAGGACCCAACGTGAAGCAAGAAGGGCTTTCTCATTAGGGTGAGCCCTATGGGCCCCTGCTGCATGGCTGGAGGGCAGGGAGGGGTGTGCACATAGTGTGAGCCCTGCCTCCAAACAGTGTGGGGACTAGGAGGGAGGACAAAGAGCCACCTGGGCAATGACATCTGAGCTGGAACTTTGGGACATTGTGCTCAGGGGCCATAATCTTGGCTCCATGACTTAGTCTGCAGTGCCGTGGTATCGAGAATCTGGTGACAAGGACAGCTAAAACCCACCGGAAACCATAAGGGAGCCTCAGCATTCCATAGCATCCACCAAGGCTGGGGACCTGGGCGGGTCACTCTACACCCTGCCCCTCAATGTCCTCAGCTGTACATGGGCACATCCACCTCACAGGGCAATGGAAGATGCAATAGGAGGCCACGGGCACAGCCTCAGCCCTACAGGCTCGGATGAATGTCTGCTGCTTCCCTTCCTATCACAGCTCCTCACACCGTTCAGGCCTTGTCCATTTCTGTCAATGGCCTTATCTCTCTCTCCCTCTCTCTTCTCTCTCTCTCTCTCTCTCTTTCTCTCTCTCTCTCTGACAGTACTGGGGTTTGAACGCAGAGCCTCATGCTTGCTAGGCAGGAGCTCTACCACTTGAGCCACTCCACCAGCCCCCTTATTTCTCCTTATCACCTTATCATTCTTTGTTCTTCCCTCCCCAGAAAAGGGAAGGTGATGTGTACCTAGAGTTGAGTCCCTTGGCTTTAAAAGGCTTGTCTTGACTCACTACATGAAGAGGCAATTGTGAACAAAGTGCTTTCCCCAGTGTCCATCCTGACACCTCCCCAAGCCCCACCACTGCTTAGGTGCCGTGTGTAAATGCCTCACAAAACTCCGCATGGACCCCAGCATTACACACTGCACATAAATGCCCACCACACCTCACTACCTCACGTCCACAGTGCCTAGTGCAAGACCTGTCCCCGGCCTTGTGTGGAGGGGACATTCAATTCCTGTTGTTGAAGGAAGGCACGAAGAGAGGAAGGAAAGGAGGAGGAAGAGGGGAGGGAATGGAGGAAGGGATGGAAGGAAAAAAAGGGAGGGAGAAAAGAAGGGGAGAGCAGAAAGAAAGGGAGAGAGGGAGGCAAGAGGGAGGCAAGAGGGAGGCAGGATAGAAAGATGGAGGGAGAGGAATGAAACAAAAAGAAGGGAGGGAGGGAGGAAGGAAGGGAAGGCAGGAAAGGAAGGAAGGAAGGAAGGAGGGAAGGAAAGGCACTCCTCCAGGGCTTCAAGTGGTAGCAAAGCCCTCTCATGGGCTCTTCTGCAGTTATCCTCACTCCCTGTGAGCTTCGCTGAGCTCACACTGCACACTGAGCATTTTTCTGACTTGGGTGGACATGGATACCTACCCAGCAGGTAGAGCGCGGTCCTGCCTGTATACTGGGAGATCTTCCCGTACAACAGGGAGCACAGTGAGGTGGTGGCAGCAAAGCAGATCATCACGTAACCCACAAACTGGATGCCTAGGGCACAGGTGACGTAGGACTGCAGGGGAAGCCAGAGAGGTATTAGCAGTGCAGCCATTGGAGCTTAGAAAATTTCCATGTGATTGATGGCACGCTGAAACCTTTGTCCAGGCCTTGCAGCTCGCAGCAGGGGAGAGCAATGCTGATGTTTGTAGAGAATTCTCTTTGGGTCAGACATCTGGACACAATTCTTCCCCATGTATTCTTTGTCCTCTGTTGTGGAGTACACACTATTTACACAGAGCTAATGGGGACTGATCTCAAAGGACTCCACCACATCCTATTAGGTCTACGGAGAGCTGGAGCAAGATGGACCAAAAATAAAGGGTCCTTCATAGAGGGCCAAGAAGCAAGCCACTGGGCAGCCTCAGCACCAAGCTCCCATAACTAGGCAGGATGGAGAAGGATACCCAGAGGAAGTGATGGGGACCAGGATGACCACATCTGGATAGCTGGCTGTGGCTGGAGTCACATGACAAGTCAAAAACAGAGTAGACCTTGTGGTCATCCCTCGTTTACCCCTTTTGAACCTCCAAGACTGTTCTAAGTCTAGTGTTTCCAGGTCAAACCCAAGACACCCCAATATTGCATGGGCACAATTGTCCTAAACAATATTTGTGGATTGTCTGAAATTCAGATTTGGTAAGGCAAGTATTTTTATTGTGCTATATTGACAGCCCTGCCTGGGGGTGTGAGGGTTGGTGAGACAGGAACATTTCCTCCATAATGGAGGCTCAGGGGCAGGGCTGGATGACACAGCCAGTTTAACCTAGCTCCAACAGCCTCCTCAGGGCCACCTGGTGCCCAGTGCTGTGGAGGACAGTATCGACTCTTGCCTGGGAGGAAGAAGGCTTCCAGAACTGGGATCCTGCCTTCCACAGCACAGAGGTTCTCAGGACAGGATGCCACCATGACTGATGACTCAGACAGACTAGATGGCGGACAGGCAGCCCTGAAGTTGGGATTGTGCCAGCCACTAGGTAACGGCCACCCATGTGTTGCGTGCCTGTGCTGCCCCAGCCCCGAGAGGGGCTTCTTGTCCACACACAAAGAGGTCAAGGCTGTGTAGGCATGTGGTCATCTAGGGAGGAAGGTGATCAGAGCACACGGGGAGCCAAGGCCTTGCAGGACCACGTGGATTTCTGGAATTATAACGTGTAGTTTGAAAGCTAGAGTGGGAAGGAATTTCCATGTTAGTCACAGATTTACTGCTCTCCTGGTTTAAGGCAGCAGAAAGAACATGGGATGAGACAAGCCAACAGAGTGAAAATGAGCATTCCATGTAGACAGCTACCCATCTATTCTATCCTTGCTCTTTTTCTGGGAAGACACGTGTCAAGCAGGAAATTTCCCCTTCAGATAAGGAGTTGAAGCTCAGGTGAGTTGCATTTGCTTGGAACCTGATCGCTCCAATCACAAACTCAGCCATTGTAGGGCTGGGAGCATCGTGAGCCTGCTCCCACTAGCCAGGCCCTGGGCAGGTGGCCCTGGAACACCCTTGTGGTCCCTTCAGGTGGGGATAGAGGCAACATGGTACACTGTGTGAGCCACTGGCTTCTGCTTTCTTTCCTACCCTTGTGTATTCACCAGAGAGGAATCCCTGCTGCAATCCACTGTACAGAGGCAGCAGAATCAGGAGGCACAGACGTTTGTCTCGAAAAAGCCTGAAAGTTGACAGCAAAGTGGACCAGAAAGGGGGCGATGACCTCTTCTCTCCCCCACTCTTCTGCTGATTGTCTTCTAGAGGCTCCAGAAACATGGCTATCAGCAGGATTGCCAGGACACCGCTTCCTGAAAGGAACACACAGGCTTCAGATCCTGGGGTGGAGACACCTCACCAATTACCCCCCCCCATGTCTTCCTGCTCTCCGTGAAGACTTAACTCAAATCCAGACTGAGGTGAAGACAGACATACCAAGCCTACCACAGCCTCTGATCCCAGATGTCAAGTTCACTTGACCATATGTGTATTGGTTCTAAAATTAACTTATAACTCATAGGTTTGCACCTGAAACCTGTCACAGTGGGCCAAGCATTGTCTTCATTAGCACAAGATGCAAAAACGTGGGAGGCCCAGCACCCTTAGCCAATGGCTCGGTTTCTCTTCTAGCTTTGAAGTGATTTCTATCAATAAGCAGCTGTTTTATTTTTTAGGGTAATACATCCATAAAGGTACCACTACACTTTTTGCTTATTTCAGATCTATTTGTCTAAAAATCCTCCTATAGGGACTGGTTGACATATTACAGTCTGTCCCTACTGTAATAGAAGCTGTAACGCGATCTATGTGCACCTGAAGAAAATGAAAATGGAGGGCTGTTTTTAATCCACAGATGGACAGGTCCCCCAAGACAAATGATAAAAGGAAAAGAAGGGTGTGCAGAGCTTCCAGTTGACGGTGCTGTCCCTTGATCATCATCACTATTTTCTAGTGTGGGGATGGAACCCAGGGCCATGTGTGTGCAAGGCAAAGGCTGCACCACTGAGCCATGTCCAGCCCCTCCTCTCGTTCTTAACAAGGCGTGAAGACAAAGCTCCTGACCATGCCTTCCTGACCTCTGGTTCCCATAGGGTGCTGGGCTCAGCTCCACCCAAGCTGACCTGTATCAGGCCTTTGATTTTTATGAAGGACACATCCCAAGGCCCTTATGAATTCCAGCACTCAAGGATGACCAAAATACATTTACATACCTTTCAAAATGATTCTTAAAAATGTCTAAATGTGTTCCCTTTAAAGTAGTAATAAATCTATGAACAGAGCACAGCCATGCATGAAAATATCAACATAAAATGTTCCCTTTAAAAAGCCTCTAAGAATAAGAATCAGGTGACTGTTAACTTCCTCTGGGCCACCACTTTTTCCGGGACTTGAGTTTGTACATCTTTAACTACCTGGAGGCCAGAGCCATTGATGTCACCCAGCCTTCCAGCAGGAGTCATTTGAATATTTCCTCAGAAGAAAATGACCGTGGATTGTCGGTCACTTGGGCATATTGAATCTACCAGTGCCCTGGTCCCCTCCGTGACGTGTATGAGGGTGACCACTAGAACTGTGGCTAATGGCTTCTGCACTGGACTCTGTAGGTGAGGGGGTAATTCCTTGTGACAGGGGCCCTCATCACACAACACTGGCCACTTCCATAGCAATCGCCTGAGGGTGACTCAGTTCCCACGCGTGGTGGGGTCCTGAGACGAGGAAGGTGTCCTCCTGGGCTGGGGAGAGAGTCCTTGAGTCAGGACTCTGCCCAGACGTGGACATGTACCTGTGTAGATACCCAGCAGCATGTAGATCAGCTCCTGGGAGGGGCGCTGGGTGCTGTTGGTGGCTGCTGTGGCCATCAGGCAGTCACTGGCTCCACAGAGCACGAGCTGCTCCTCTGGGATGGCCTCTGTGAAGTTGGAAGCAGACAGACGTGGTAAGAATGCGGTTGGAGGGGACATGGCCCCCTGATGTAAGAGGCCACGGTGAAAAGTGTGGCGGAGCCTCTGAGGCAAGGCAGCCAGACAGGTCAGAGTTGAAAGGCTTGGGGGTGCTCGTTCAAGAATCTCAGGAAGCAGCTATCATTAGCACACATCCACCAACTTGATTTTAGCACATTTTGTCGGAGAGACAGAGAATTACATCAGTGTTCTGCAAAGATACTAAGAAGAAAGGCATGGAACAGGGAGTGGGTATTTGTACTACTTTCTTGACATAACTGAAAAATTTCAACTTTTCAAATTAGTCAAAAAGAAACAAAGCACCGGTGTCAGGAACACTGGGTTCTTTTTCAAATTCACCTGCCCAGTTCCACAACCTGGGAAGGTGCCCTCGTTCCCTTTCTGTTTCTGAAAATGAACCTTAGTTCCTTTACCTGTTAAAAGAGTAAAGCTTGAAGTTGGGGGTATGGCTTGGTGGAAGAGCTCTTGCCTAGCATGTGCAAGGCTCTGAGTTCAATTCCCAGCATGAAAAAACATAAATAACATAATAAAGTTTGAACTACAAAAGCCTACGAGTCAGAATCAGGCTCTAATCTTTGCAGGGAGAGAAAGACATCATGAGACAAAGACTATCAGTGTTTGATGGTTTTCCTGATACAAATCTCATAATGAAAATGTCACAGAACCATCTAGGCTGGGGAGACGTGTAGCAAAAGAATGAGAAGGCAGCGTGGAAGCCAGAGGCACGGGCGGTGGAGAAACCCTGCCACAACCCCCACGCCTTTGCCTTCATGTTCCCTGACCACAGCTCACTTGGCCTGACTCTTAGACCCCCATTTCTGCACTCATGCACCAAGAAACAGATGCGGGGCTTCTGCTGTTCCTGCTGTCTCTTCTGTCTGGTTCTGAGTGGCCGCAGCCATGAGCAAGCTTGGCACGTGTTTTACCCCTGTGACTTCACTGCTCTGGATGCACTTAGCAAGCAATGGTCTCATGCAAGAAGGAGGTCTTGGCTCCCAAACTTCCCAAAGGAGAGGTTTGCCTCAGAGAGAAAGATTCCAGGATGGAGGGAGCAAAAGGACCCTGACAACAGGCAGAGGCCAGTGCCTTTCACCACAGGGAAGGCCACCTGTGGGAAACGAGGGATCGACTTCCTCTAGCTTTGGCTTCAGTCCTCAACACGGGCATCAAAAGGTACATGAAACGACATTGCTTTACATCTCTATCTGGATGAGGTCTGGTAAAGACACCTGAATGCAGGCCCCAGGCACACATCATCCTCAGTTACAAAGTGAAGGGGCTTAACAATTCCATGGGGAAATGAGCCAGGCAAATGCGTTCTTAGGACAGTAATGACTCCAAGGACCAGATTTCACCACCAGGGACCCTGGTTCTCCCAATGGGGTCTCTTCTCCATGGTCCCCATGCTCCATGGAGACAGCTGGGGAGGAGATGGGTCTTCAGCCCCCTGACCATCCCCAGAGGAACAGGGACTACTTGACCACAGGGCACAGGCCAATGCCTTCACCTGTGGAATAACATTAGGTGCGTGTGTGACGTCAGTGACCCTCCTTCGTGATCGCCATGGAGACCCTTCTGCCCCTCTTCACTTTACCTTGAGTGGGAGTCTGGCCGAACACCAGAGACGAGATCAGGTTGCCCCACACTCCAGAAGACTGGAATATAAGGAAGAAGATGCCAAAATAGTGGTTCACCACATCTTTGCCAAGCTTGCCCACCTTCACGGCGTGGGAGTTCCCCATGACTGTGAGGTAGGTGGACTGAGCTGACCACAGGGGGGCGGCTCCCAGTCCCAGCAAGATGGAGGTGGGGATCAGTGTGTACCTGCAAAAGGAGACTGAGTGACCCTTCTGTCCCTGCCCCTGACAGGGTGAGGGACAGGGTTTGGTCACGGGTCCATCCTGCCCATGCTTCCCTGAGATGCACCCTGTACAGGTCAGAGAGTCCCTGTCGTTGTGGGGCCATGAAAGCCCCTGGAGTTTGAGGGAATGTTAGGGCCAGCATCGATTGCAGGAGGAGGCCAGCGCTGGGGGTCAGGAGGACAAAAGCTCCATCAGGGAAGGAGGGAAGAAGGGTGGTGCCATGCCGCCCTGCCACAGGAGCTGAGAAAGGAATCTGGGTGAAGAGCACAGTCTGGAACAGAAGCAGCCGACAGAGGTCAGGGGCCATGCGGGTCGCGCAGCTTAGCATTCGAGCCGGCCGGGAGCCGTACCAGTTGGCGTGGAAGTTGCCCAGGGAGAAGGCCACATAGAGGCCCATGGAGCCCGCGATGGTCCACTTGCAGCCGTATCTCTTGATGAGGATGGGCGGGAGGAACAGGGAGGACAGGAGGACAGCACTGTACAGTGAGCTGAGCGTCGCCACCCCAGGCCGTGCTCGCTGTAGAGGCTGCTCTGTGGAAACAAGACCGGCCCGTCCATCAGTCTTCCTGCACCAAGGACGCCGAGGGCGAGGGGACAGAGCTGCCCCTGCCTCTGAGCATCGGGGAGGAGAAGCCCCGGGAGGGGGTCTCTCTCTGAGCAGGGGCAGAGAGCACGTCAGCCGTAGCTGCGCAGCAAAGCCCAGGCTCTTCTCATTGTTGCTGTTTTCCACGTGAGTGCCCGGCCCAGTTAAGGTGTGAAGTGACCAAAAGGTCAAGAGTAACCAGAGCCAGACTGGCAAAGGCAGTCATGGGGCAAAGTCTGACTTCTACTGCCAAAGAAACCTAGCACTATTGTTTCGTCCTCTTACTTCACTTGTAAGAGAAAAGGAATGAGAAGGAAGAGAGAGAAGGGAGGACAGGGAGGGGAAGAAAGGGGATGTGGAACTGGCGTCTCCTCCCGAACCATCTTCCTATGCCTCACTCTCTACCCCAGTCTGGTGCCCATGGTCACTTCAGCTGCACGAAGACGTTGGTGGGGTGTCCAACGTGGTCTAGGCAGCTGGTCAGACCCCAGAGTCAAAAAAGCAGCCACTATAGGGCTAGGTCCCTCAGAAAACCACCCTGTACCCATGTTGGCAGCTGGGGTGCCAGACACTGAAGTAAGTGCCTCTGCATTCATCGTCCCTCCAGGCTGGATCAGGTCTTAACCATCCCCCTGGGAAGATGAGGAAGGAGATAGGAAGTTCTGTGTAGTCAGACACATGGCCAGTTAATGGGATAGCAGGAAAAAAGTATTTCAGTGTCTGGTGGATATATCTGCTAAGGCTGCCCTAACAAAACACCAAGGCTGGGTGGCTCATCTTAGGAATTGATTTTCTTAGGTTCTGAGGCTGCAAGTCTGAGATCAAGGTGTCATTAGGGGTGGGTTCTCTTGGGCCTCTCTCCCTATCTTGCAGATATACACTGCTTCTCACTCTGCCCCTCCTGTGTCCTTCCATGGTCAGCCCTCTGTTTAGCTGTGTGGCAGAGACACCAATCATTTTAGGTTGGGACCCACCCCCTAATAGCCTCATTTTCACTCAGTCATCTCTTTAAGGTGATGCGGTCCTGTGGACTAGGACTTTTACAAATGAAATTTGGGGTGGGGTAAACAACCCAGTCCAGAACAATATTAAAATTCCCTCTACCTGGTCCCCCAACAAGAGAGATGAGGCACAGACTCACTGTGCCTCCAGACTCCATTTCCCAAGGCATTGCTCCCCCATACTGCCTTGTCTACCTTACTCCTTATTCCTTATGCCCTGAGGCCCAGTGGCCCCAGGCCAAGTGATGGGGCTGTTCCTTGCCCTTGGGTCCTGCCAGAGCTGGAAGAACTTGTTCTCTATTCTCTAGTTTTCTAGGAAGAAGTGGTCATACCAAGTGACAGCAGCTCGCACTCCCAGAGGCCCTACAGGAGTGCGGAGGTGCTGGTGAGAGTGAGGTGTGGCTGCTTATGGTCAAAGTGTGGTCAGATGCTGGCCGCGTGGCCCCAGAGGCCACAGCTTTCTGCTCACATTTGTCTGCAGCTCTGTGCCTGCACCAGCAGCCTAGGGGGGCTGCCAGCAACTTCTAAGGCTCTCCCCACCACCCTTCTCCGCTGCTTCTTCATCCAGGGCCCAATGTGCTGAGCCTCTTCCAGACACATGATTCTTCTTAAGTCTTCTGACCCGGCCAGGTCCCGACCCCCAGAGAGGCCTCTGCCTGCCACTGACATAGCCACAGGCGTCCCCTCTCTGTGTGGGCCTTCAGAAGGGACAGTGTTGATATCCACATTCTCCCGGAGTTCTCCTTCCAGAAAGTTCCTGGGTCCATTAGCACACGCTCAGTTCAACTCTGCACAAAGCAAATATTCTGCACACACGGATTTGGGGTGACACCACAAAGTTCTGAGGGAAGCTAAGCGCTGTGACCTACTGTGCTGAGAAAGCAGACTGTGCCTCTCCTTTCACACTGTTCCCTTTCAGACTGTGCCTTCTAGGAAACAAGACCCAGTGGGAGGGCCAAAGCTGAATCTGAACTTCCTTGCCAACCTACAGGTCCAGAGCGTTTGAGGACTGGTGAGACTGAACCTTTGATTCTGAGCCCTGAGTGGGCTTTCCTGATTCAGTACCGTGCATGTGGGAGGTGCCTACTCCTTGTGTCTGGTTGACAAACCATGCAGTACTGCACTCACTTGCCACCAGAAGCTCTAAGAATACCCCTTACAGGACAGCTCAGGTCATGGGGTGCAACCCCGAGTGGAGCGCACACCCGGGGGACAGTGATGGCCCTACCTACTTCCCAGCCAGTCCTTGGAGTTCTCTGGAGACCTTATTCCAAGTTTAAGATCAGATTTGACATGTAACTACCTCAGAAAGCACGTTAAATCTACCCTCAGGCCCATGACATCAATGATACAGACTGTTAGGGATTGTGGTTTTCAGATAGACTCATAGACCCAAGGAGAAAGAATTCCATAAACAGTTAAAAATGCAGACGATTTTCTCAGAGTTCACAGTTTTGCTTAAAGCAAGCTTGGTATCTATAGGATCTAGTGAGATTTGGTAAATTCACATCACAGCCCTGACCACAAGGCCAAGGTCACGGAACCATAGAATCTGCAATGGTTTTCTAGTGTCTTCTGCTAACCACCCCAAAGCAAAGTGTCTTATCAAGCAACTAGGTCAAGCTCTTTGCCCTCCTGTGCAAGGGTCCAACACATACCACGCTGCCATGCGCCCTGCTGGACGATGAGCAGGAAGTGAAGATTGTGGGGTTTCATATAAAAACCACTGCTTCTTTCAGAGAATTGGGGAGGTGGGGTGATAGAAGGAAATCTCATTTAATTAGTGATCAGTGTCTGTGACCACGGGGATTCTGAAGTCTTACAGTCTGGAGTTAAGGTAACGTGACAGGCACACACTTACCTGCAGGTTCTGCAGGCCCCCGTAGGCAGTGAAGAGAAGGAGGAACCCAAAGGAAACCACAAGGACATTCTTCAGACTCCTTTCCATTGTGCTGGCCGAAGTGCCACCTATCAGGGGGTGTGAAGATTTGTCACTCCCTAAAAGAAACCAGTGGGGTACAGGAAATGGAAGCTGTACTAAGCGGTCCCAACCTCCCTCATCTGAGTTAGAAGTGTGGTGGTCATGACGGCTGCTGCTCACACCTGTGAGGGCTGCGTGTTACTCAGTCACCTTCCCACAGCCCATCTTCACCACTCTCTCTGGGGCAAAGGTTACAACTCTTAGCTTAGAAGTGATTGCACTTTCCCCCTATTTATTTCAGGTAGGTCTGGTCCTCTGGCAAAGTGAGACACCTCATCTTTTGTATGTGAGTATAGCTGTACCTTCGACGTCCAGAGAAGCAGTCAGTGGTGCAGAGTGTGGAGTGTTCTTCAGTCCTAAAGGAAAATGCATAAATATTAACTTCAACGTACATAGTTCAACTTCTGAAAAAGAATTGACATGCTGATAAGATCCCAGGGCCAAAGTCTGAGTATACAAAAGCTATATGATCTTACAATGTTACAATAATTTAAAATAACATGACTATGGCACTTTGTCAAGGATGCATTCTACACCATCATTTCATGTTACCAACAGTACTGAAATAAGTGCTGTTAGCAATCTTAGACCTGTTACAAGGCAGGACACAGTTTCAGCAAAACTCAGTGATTTGGTATTTCAGGCCCAAATCAGCAGCCACCAGCCACGTGGACCATCAAGTCCTGACACACAGCTGGTGCAATGGTGGCACTGAATTCATAACTGCCTTTCACTTAGTTAATTAAAATTTAAATAGATTCATGTGGCTAAATGTGATTATTTCCAAAATTCCGTGACATCAGCCATTTCTGTCTAGTTTAGACCTATAAGGTAAATCTTCCAGCTGGTCACTGACATGTGGGAAGCAGGCCACACCATTTGTAATGACACCAATGAAGGGGATAAGACTCTGTGGCTTAACTTATTCCTATGACAATAAGAGTTTTATGAAAATAATGATTCATAGAATGAGAGCAACACAGTCTAGTAAGACACGCTAACCATGGAAGCAGCCTCAAATCCTAATTCTAGCTCCAGACACCTTGGGTGAGTCAAGCTACTCTCCGAACTCCAGTTTTCTTTTGAAAACAGAGGTTGCAAAGTGCAAGAAGCTCATTGCGTTGGAAGTCCTTGGTACTTGTCTGAAACTGGTAGTCACCAGCAAACGTCCACTTTGACTTTCAGAGAAAGATGACTTGGAGTATTTAAGGAAATAGGATACTCAGCATAGCATGGCCTTTCCTTCACAATGCATGCGATCAGTTGATGAATTTTGAAACTTTTTATTTTTTGGCAACACGAGTGGACTCCACCTCTGGCTTGTCTATGATTACCCACAAATGACTTGTGTCCTGACATGAGAACTTCTGATGTTTTCTTTTAGCATCTGCTGTTCTTTCTCCCTTGATTGCTTAAACTTAACAGGACCATCTTCGGGAGTTTGCCACTGGCCCAAGAACAACTCCCAGTAGCTTCTGCCCCAGGTTCCCACAGCCCATTGGGGTCTCCTGAGAAGCTTCACAACTGTACAAAATCCCTTTGGAGATCTGTTGTCACTTTGCAAGTCACACTCCATCTGCTAGCTGTCCTCCTTCTAGTTGATGATTAATTTCTGGCTTTATTGCTTTAACCATTCCTACCTTTTCTCCCTCCTTCCTAAGCCCTGCTTTATCTGTGCTGAGGGATTTTAAGAATAAGCACCATTGCTTACAGTCCAGGAGAAGGAGAAGACACTTTGAACACGGATGTGTGCAAGCATTGCCCTTACCAAATTCTTAATGTGAGGACAGTGTTAGATGCGGTCACCAATGGTTTCTTCATAGCCCAGACCCTGACACTGTCGTCACCTCACGGGCACATTCCTGCCCATGTTTACTTGGATGAGGGAAGAGAGCAGCAAATTCTGGATGCCCAGAAGCTGTTTTACCGTGAGAGACGGTGCAGTGGTATTGACAGAGTATCCCAGAGCTATAAACCGGACCAGTGTTGACCTCCACAGGGCTGGAGGGATTTAGATACAAACGGCTCAAAAGTCCCAGTGATCATTTCATTTCTGAAGTTAGCTTGCGGGGGGGGGGGTGCGAATAAAGGGGGGAGAAATGACCCAAACACTGTATGCACATATGAATAAAATAAAAATTAAAAAAAAATAAAAAATAAAGTTAGCTTGCACACCTGATCTTGAGAAAAGGGATGGTTTCATAGATCTGTCTGCTCAGATCTAACGGTCACCTACTATATGCTGAGGTGAAGGACCCAGTGCTGGTGTGGAGCTGGAAGAAGGAATGGCCTACAGAACCTCAGACACTGCAAGTGATGTGGCTGGCCACTGGATGCCACTCTTCTGCCACCACCGAGTTCACCAAGCGCTCCAAGGGTTTTGAGTGCTACAGAATTCTTTTGCAATCAGAAAACTTCCTGCTAAGAAGGAAATGATGGCTCTTAATTTAAGGGAAGTCCAATCAGTGGTTTGCTCTTTAAAGAAAGTACTCAGGTAAGCAAATAAATGCCAATTTTCTTGACGTTCACATCTGAAATTTAAAAGAGGCACTAAAATTCATGTCTCCTATCCATTAGCCACATTTTACCTATAGAAAGAGGGAAAATGATTAAAGGAGTAGAAAAGTTATTGTCTCTGCTAGGAATTCTCCCACTGTGGAAAACAATTTGATCCTCCTCTCTCTCCCCCTCCCCCAGCCCCTCCCCCCTTCTCGTTTAAGGAAGAATGGTCTGTATCAGCACAACTATGGCTGAGGAAAAGACCACCTCAGCAAATATCCCAGAGTTTATATAACCTTAGAGCAGACTGACAACCCTGCCGGAGCACAGTGGGATGTGCAGCTGTGGTAATGGCCCTGGTTGCACAGACCACTGCCTGAGTGGAAAACACTGGCCTCTTCCTCAGCAAGACATGGCTGACGACAGTCTGAGATGGTGTGTAAGGACCTCGGCAGAGCCCTTCAGCTACATTCCCCCATAAGAGGGCAGAGACCTGTCTTATGACAAACACCTGAAATGAAACTTCTCCTGTCCTTACAATATTGATGAGCCATGTCTGATGCTCTGGGATTCTGAGGCTTGCTTTTCTGGATCGTTAGCACATGCTTCCACTGGCTACATTCGAAGGGACTGACCATTCAATCAACCTTGACCGAGGAGTCTGCTGACACCTCCCACCACCGTCCCCCATTCTGCTCCATAGGAAGAAAGCGGCTGTCTGCAGCTTATCACTGCCTTCCCCAGTCCCTGCCATGGCAGCGTTAGAGGAGCCAGGGCTCAGAAAGTCTTTACTGCCCCACTCTGGTATTCCGCGGATAGACGAGGCCTCTAGTGCAGGACACACCGCTGCATGCATAACGAGTACCTTTGTAAACGCATGGCTCCTTTTCTCTTTCCAATGAGCCTTCCACTGCCCAAGACAGAGGACCCACTTCTGCGGGCATGTGCAAGTATTTCCTGAGACCCTGCTCTGGCCAGGTGCTAGAACAGTCAGCAGTCCTGTGCTCAGAGGCACTGAATTCTAGACCACAAACACCTAAGCAAACAGGGAAGTCAAACAAAACCAGACTGTAGTAAGCAAAAACAGACGATAGACCAAAAACAGAGCAGGTAACAGGAGAGAAATTTGGGCCGGGGACACACACACACACACACACACACATACACAGCCATCTCCACAAGCATGGCAGAAAGCACCCCCGCCCCGCCCGGCCATGGAGAGAGCAGCCCCACTCCACAAACGCTCATCTTCACAGATTTTCTGACAGCAGGAACTGAAAGGCCCAGCTATGCAGCCAAGGAGGAGCCCAGCAAACTGGAGCAGGTGGCTCTTTGGATTGGGTGAGACGCATCCAAGTGCCCTGAGGTGCTCAGGAGCAGGACCTGAGATTGGGAAGTGAGGGCAAATACGTCCAGAGTTCCTAGACAAGGGGCAAGGCGTGGTGATCATGCTGCAAAACTCCCAGGACAGCTTTGGCCCAAGCTCCATGGTGCTCACATATCCATAAAGCCAGCACTTTGTCCCTCACTAGATAACCTGTGTTGATTTACCTAGCTTTGTGGCCTCCTTCGTTTCAACTGCTCCCTGGCACGCAGCTTCTTAAGTCTTGAGAGTGTCGGAATACTGAGGCATTTCCAGGTTGGGTTTTGAATGCCCTGTTCAGAATGACTCTTTTCAAAAGCACATTGGGAAATCACGGTTGGGCAACACTTGTTTTTGCACCAGCAGGTGGCAAGTCCTGATCGTGAAGTGCAGCCTTCTCAACAACACACACGAGAAATGAAGGAGCTGTCCTCGGAGAAGTCTGGGGTGCAGAAGGACCAACTGAGGAAGTGCTTGATATGACCAAGTGAGGCCATTTTGCAATGCTGAAAATCAGCGTTGAGTTTCTATAAAATATAGGATCCACTTGCTATGAAAAATCACGTAATATGTAGACTCCATATATAATATAGGTTCATTATAGGCTCATTGTACACAGGTGTGTGCTTGTGTGTACACCTACATACAATGAGTCTAAACTGACATCAAACTCTTCTCTGGACAACAGCATTCTTTGTTTGACACACCTGTATGATATTTCTATATCTGTAGGAACCACATCTAATTTTTAAAAGAACAGAAAGTTCTTAAGCAAAAGACACTTTTTAAGAAGTTTTCTTATAAAGAACCATAAAATTAGACGAAAACACTACCTTACTCTGAACAGTCCTCACCGGCTCGGCTGTGTGCCAGGCCATACTTCAGGCTTCTTCCCAGCTTGGCAAATAGGCCAGGCCAGAAGGAGTTGCCCTCTTTCATGGGTGGCCTGTGTTCATAGTTGACCTGCTTCCCCCTTGGGTGTCTCTCAGGATCCCCACCATGGATGCACAAGGCAAATGTGAGGGAGAGAAGAGGCAGAGACACTTACGGCCGTGATGGAGCGGGGCCTGCGCGGCCTGCACTTCAGAGCTGGTTCGGCCTTCCCTCCTGTCCTTCCCAGGGCTCTCTCCGGGCACATGGGCGCCTCAACCGCCAGCTGCTGTCTGTGTTCATTTAGGCTCAGGCTTGCTTCCCCTCCGGATGGGCAACTCCTTTGGGCCTGTCTGTTTAGGATGATCTGGGAAGGAGCCAGAAGTGTGGCTTGACCCTGGATGAACCCCAGGGGACAGCTGTGCAGATAGGGATTGCTCTCAAACTGTGTGCCCTGAACACAGAGGTGGCATGTAGCAAAAACAAGCTGGGCCCTTCCCCACCGCCTGAACCAACGGCCAGGGCTGCTCTGGGGTGGCCCACAAGACAGGGTTGTCAACTGTCTTTCCTCGGGACAGGTAGCCTCATACCTGTCCATCCCACTTAGTTCACCCCTCTACTATGGGGCCGCCTAGCAAGGCCCAAGGCTGAGGTGGCTGGATGACCACAAGGGTGGTCAGTGTTCGTTCAGCTGAGGAAGAAGTTAAGCTGATGATGTGGCCTGAGCCAGGATTGTGACTTACAAGGGACAGTAAGGGTCCTGTGCTCGCAGCGTGATGTTGTGGGAGGGGTTTGCCTTTGCAGGCCTGGGTCCATCAGCTGTAGTGCATGAGCACCTTTCCAGGGTGAGGATCCAGGAGCCTCTGTACTGGAGACCGCAAATGCGCGAAGACAGCTGAGGTGTGTCAACACACCTGCTGGGTCCATTGGCCTTCCAAGTACCGGATGGTGTCTTTGCCCTTGGAAACGGTCTGTGTGCAGGCACTGCTGGCTCATTCAGTTAATCCTAACACTCCACGTCTTTCTTGCCCAGTGCGTTCAGTTAATGGCATTGGGTTAACTTATGCGTTCCTGTGCCCCAAACCACTGTTGCACCTCCCCCACTGGACAACAGGGGCTCTGCTTTGTGAAACAGAATGAGCGCAAGGGCCCAGCAGCCAGGGTGGACAGTCCAGCCCTCCTCCACCAGCAACTTTTCTCTGTACACCCCTCACTCCCCTCCCCGGCCTGGGTGTTTTAATGTTGTTTGGAAAACATTTGCTCCACTACCTTCAGTGCTGCGTTTCTTTTACTTTGCAGGAACTGAGTGTGTCTACAGTTCCTTTCCGTATGCTGCCTCACAGATGTCCATCCTCGTGGACCATGGGAGGAAGTTCTACATCAAATTAACCTCAAGTACACAAAAGAACAATTCCTGTGCTCCAGTGGAAGGTCCGTATGAGTTTGGAAATGCCTGTGAACTTCTCTTGAAATCTCTGTCCATCTCCAGTGTGTTGAAGAGTCTTGACATTTTGATCTGCAAGAGCTAATGAGCCTTGAGTCAAAGGCAAGGTGGCCTGAATATGACAGGCACGCTGTCCTGGGTCTGCACCTGGCTGGCACTAAGAAAACATTTGTTGGATTTAGTAGAAGATAGAGACTCCACCAAAATAAAGATGGTTCACTCAGTAAGCATGACTATTCCCAAAAGGAATCTAACTTTCTGTGAGATTCTGAAATCATTTACCACAAGGAAGAGCTGATTTATCTTCGGGTATCTTCCAAATGACTGTCATTTTAGCATCTTGTGAATGTTGATCCTGCTTTTGGAAGTTCTTCCTTGTGACCAGCTCCCAACAGCTAAATCGTCATCATTTCTCTTTGAACATCAGGAGGGCCTTTACCTAGTCTCTGATTCATCAGACCTTAGTGTGAAAACTAAGATCTGTGTTTGTGTGTGTGTGTGTGCGTCAATTCTGGCATTTTCTAGACCTTTCTCTTTGATAGTCAATGCAGGGGAGGAAGGGATATATATAATAGGCACAGTTTAGGGCTCAGTTTGTCACAAGAATAGTTTCCCATGTACCTCCAACTGGCCCCTTTTCCCTCCACCTCACCCACCCTCATTTTTCATATGTGGAATCCACACGTCTACTGATATTTAGGAAGCAAAAAGTTCAAAGTGAGGCTCCCTGCCCTTGCACATCTAGTAAGAGTGTTGTGCTCACTGGCAATATTGAAGTTTGCCTGTACTTAGGCTCCAAGAAAACAGTTTGTGAGAACTCCAAACCTCTTATTTGCCCAAGCCTCCCCTCTTCATCTGTGTACAGGACAGGGCTTGTCACAAAGAAAGCCCACCTCCCTGTGACTCAGTTGAGACTGTGTCCACGTGTTCTCCTGTCTCCATGATCACCCCTAACTCACCAGGGGCAGGCCACGCCCAGACCCTCTAGGGCCTGTTCTTTGTCCCATGGTTGGCTAGCTGAGATTAGAACTATTTGATCCCCTAAAACTAGCAAGACACAGAGAAAAGCATTTCCTGGTCAGATGATGAGTTGAGATGTCACCAGCTCCAAGTCGCTCCTCTGGAACCTGTCTCCCTCCCTGGAAGGTCTAAGGGCAGGCATCTGCTGAGGTTCCACCCCTTCCCTCTGAGTCCCTCTCTAAAGACTCAATCTCCTCAGCTGGCTAGTTTTGCCTTTGGCAGGACACATTCATTTGCAAAAGACTCCAAAGGAAGACTGCGAAGTCTCCAAACTGCATTTCTAGTTGGTAAGAAGAGCGGCCAGCTGCACGACTGGGTGTGGGGCTGTTTCATCCCCCAGGGTTGCTTAAGCCTTTTCTCTAAACAAGGAACAAAACTCCTCCTGTCCTCTGGGAGGAATGTGCAAGGTGAGCCCAAAGACAATAGAGTGGTGTGGCCCAGAGTGTGTGGCCCAGCCCAGCCCCCGCTAAAAGACTGGGGTGCCATGGCAGGGTGGATAGGTAGGGCTTCCAAAGGGCCACTGTCCAGCTTCACCTGCCAGGAGAAAAAACCCTCTTCCATGGAGACCAGGACCGCAACCCTTCCTCAAGCACTCTTGGCCGAGACTGGATGCACCAAAGCCAAGTCACATCTCCCTTTGCCACAAGTGAGGTGACAGTCGCACCTTGGAAGTGTTTCATGGAGCCCTGCCCCTCCGAACTCATGTCCCCCTCTACCTCTAGAGCTCACCTTGTGAGGGTCCTTCCATGCGGAGTGAGCACTGGAGCTCTGCTCTGATGCTGGGATCCTGGCTGACTGTTGTCCAAAATAAATGTGGCTACCTTATCTTGATCTCAGCCTGGGTGGCAGAAGCCTATGATCTGATCTAAGGATAACGAGACAGCTCCAGTAGAGGAGGACAGATGACCCCAAGGGCTCCCTCCAAGGATGATCCTGGTCAGAGCATGTCCTCCCGAGGCTCCTCTGCAGAAGGACCCCCAGGCCTCATCTTGGCAGGACACCTTCTGAGTAGTTATGGCCACTTTGGCTTCAGAAGGAATCCCTTGAGAATGTGTTGATTTGCTTGTTTGCTTTGCTCAGAGAAGTGAATATAGCTGGATTTACCGTTGCAGACGGTGGTGCATGCAGACAGAGATAAACGTGTAGCCTCTTTTGTTACTGACACAGTAAGTCTGAGTTTAGGGATCCTTGATAGGTGTTACCTTGATTAGGCAGGTTACCTCCCAACCATTGCTCTATTTACTTAACAATAACGCACATATGATTTTTCTAATTCCACCCTAAGCAAAAAGCTCTTTCAATTCTCTGACAGTTCAAAAGCAAAATCCTTAGGAAAGAAAGAAGTAGGTTAGGGTTAGTTTGAGCCAAGCAGCAAAACCCTAGATTAATTCAACCCAAGGCAGATGTTCAGAGGGCAGGGCACACACATCCCACAGCCTGGCCCTATAGATGGAGTAGGCCAGATGCCTGGGGGAGGACTGTACCCTGTGCCGGTCCTGTCACTCAGCCATTCTCCTTTTGGTGCGAGGTCAGAGGGCTCAGCTTCCCTCTGAAGGAGCCTCACTGTGTGTGTGGCTGTGAGGGACAGTTCACCCCTTCAGTTCTGTGTTCATTTGTCACCCACAAGCCAGGCAGAGGTCATTCTATCTTTTTAAACTCTGAAAATACAATATCAATACTTGCTATATGATGGGCTCTGAGCAAATTTATAGTTAAAAAATCAGTTTTTAATCTTAATTGGCTATGAATTTTCAGTTGTGGACTCTTTCAGTGTTCCCATCATATTCTTCAACTTGACTCAACTCAGCACACCTCTGACCAGAAGCCGGTTTCGTCCCCATCTGAAGCCAGTTATGTTTTGATCTGCCTCATGGTCCCATTGGCAGCTCATCATGTCCCAGAACCATGAGGCATGTGCAAAGTCT